AGCGCCTGAATTTTGATCATGTGACAGTAGCGAGGCTGCAACAATCATAAGTGTGAAAAACGGTCCTAAGTCACTTTTTTCAGTGTCGTAATGTTCACTAAATGAATTGTTGTAAGTCGAGGACTACCTGTATGGCATTTTCACACCAGAAAGTAAATTTCAGTTCGCCGCTTAAAGTCTGGCATGCGTTTGCTCCAACCAAATATGTTTTCTTTGTTTTATTCTTTGTGTGATATGCAAGTTCACGACTGAGGCATATAAACCATTTATATTATCGCTATCATTATCAATAAAAATATTTTATGTTTTTTCATCAGGCATGTGCTTAGGCCACCAGGTTCCATCCAACAAACTCAATTCATTCTAACCTCAACCTTGTTCCAACATCAACCAATCCTGCTATTTGATTATGTGTCAATCAGCTTTTATCCAGGACAGTGAGCTGAAATCCTGTGGTACTCACATCGGTTGTGTTGGACATAGTTCACCGCCATATTGGTGGGGACAAAGGACGTTTCGCTGTCTTTCTTCTTATTCTGCTGTTCAGCCAGCAATCTTGCCTTTGCATCTTCGGTCGAGATTATGTTTTTTATCTTGGCCCTACCACCAAAAAGAAACAACATCAGGCTGAGATATTTTCAAACTTGCAGGGAAGAAATGTCGGACTGATGATAGCTCTAAAGAGAACAGCTAACGATCACTGTGAAATGAAGAAGGAGTAAGTTGACTTGCTCTCTGATAATTCCTCTCTGGACAAGGAGAGGACTTGAGATTACCCAAAATTTCTTTTAAAGGAGAATATTTGAAGCTCAGACTTGAAATGAGGGGTCCTTGGTGCTCTCTATGCTTGGCTGTTTTCTTGCAGATGTTTCATTATCCAAACTAGGTAACTAACACTGACAATGATGCCTACTTTGGCATTGAAATGTCTGCAAGAAAACCACGCTCAGAGCTATTGTATATAAATGGAACAAACCCCACACTCACTAGCACCGATGATGTTGTCTAGTTGGGTAATATCTGTAAGAAAACAACCAAGCTCAGAGAACACCAAGGTCCCCTCATTTCAATTTCAAATATTCTTTAGTGGATCAGAAACTGTCGAACTTACTCGATTCCAAGGTCCACTTCGGGGATCCCACTCAGCATCTGATTGGACAGCATTTCTTCCGTCTTCTTAGCCGAAGAGACACGGATGCTCTCCGGGAGTTCGTACAGACAATCCTCTGCGTTCTTCTGCTTCACTTTCTTCTCCTCGTTTTCCATAATCCCCTTCCTCTTCTTCAGCTCAGTTTCAATGTATTTCATCCTGAATGAAAGCCGGCTGGGTGACTTTGGGCTAATCACTACGAGATGGAGAGTTCTAGTCTCGCCTTAGGCATGAAAGCCAGCTGGGTGACTTTGGGCCACTCCCTCTCGCTCCGTCCAACCCACCTCACAGGACGGTTGTTGTGGGGAAAATAGGAGGAGGAAGGTATGTTGGATATGTTGGCCACCTTAAGATATTCGTAAAAATAATATAGGAGGGATATAAGCCAGCAAGCAAACAAATAAATGATGGCAAGTCACTTACATGTCTGCATCTTCATCTCTCCTGTTGGTCTCGGCTGAAAACGAGGTGCCAAGATTGAGGTCTTCCTCTTCGCTGATCCTATAAAAGGGCAACAAACAATGACTCTAAGCACCATCAAGACGAAAGAGCCAGAAGCAGTGGAATTAATCTTCGGTCAACCCTCAAGCCCATCTGTCATAATCCATAGCCCCAATTCAAAACATCTAAGAGGCTGTGCCTCAAGGAACAAGCTACTCCTCGACTTCCAGTCACACAATTGGGGCCCAAAAGGGTCCAGGCCCACCTCTCCTTTCCTCGCTCTTTCAACTTCTTCATGTCCACCATTCCGCCTGACTTGATCTTAAAGGGATCATCCTGGCCATGTGGAGAGAACAAACAGAGAAGATACATTTTGCAGATGCTGGAATCCGAGGGCCATAAATGCTGATTTACGCAACTGGGCTTCCTCAGTCAACAGGATCACCTAATTCCTGTTAAATCATGAGTTGTTAAAACCACTGTTATGGGGAACACCGAAGTGGGTTGTGTTTTCACTTCGGGGAAGGGAGGGATATTTACAGGCCTCTCATCTCAAGGCTTCCCACTCTGATCTTACCACCAAAGTTGTCTCTTCTTGTAGCTTTTCTCCGACAAGCAAGGCTGCAGCACTTGAGGGGGAAAGCAGACAAGGACGAAGAATTAGGATGATTTAAGAGAACTTTTCATTTTTATCTCAAATCTGGTCACAATGCAACCCAGTGTCAGTTTGGGTTACAGTACATTAGGAGAGTTTGATATTCCTTTCCTTCCTTGAGAATACTTGTTTTCAATGATTGGCGTCCAAGAGTCGGGACAGGTAGTCCTCAATTTATGACCATAGCTGGGAGCAGAATTTCCATTGTTAAGTGAGTTGTGTTTGATTTTACCACCTTTTTATTGGGTCTATGATAACTCGCTACAGCCAACTCGCCATAGTTTAATTATTGGAACTTTATATAATAATAATTTGAACTAATTACAGTGAACTAAACTCATACTAATTTAAATTATTTGAAATAATTTGAATTTTGAGCATGTGTCCACAAGGATGCTATGACCATCCTAAGTGGAAGGATCGGCCATAAGTCACTTCTTTTCCCTCAGTGCTATTGTACCTTTGAACAGTTGTTCAATGAATGGTTATAAATCAAGGACTACTTATACAGCACAGTGCTAAATTAGATTCAGGGAGCCCCAGGTTCAAATCCTTGCTTGTTCTTGAACTCATCACGTACTCCAACAAGCCCTGATCCACAAAACCATAATTGGTTGGCTCCGTGCAACATGCTGGTGAGGTTGTGGGCAGAATCTAACAATTCTTAGCCAAATGGCAGAGATGAGGACATACCTTAATGTTCACAAGGAATGGTAAATGTATTTTAGAATCTTAGTTTCTACGGATATAAACGGTTCACAACAAAAACCTAGAATCTCAGTCTGTGCTTGCTACAAAGATTACCTTGACCTTAAAACTCCATGGAAAAATTAGTATTACCTTACTCCATTGGGTCTCCTTCTTAAACTCTGCACTTCCTTCGCTTCTTCTAGTTTTAACCTGGAGCGGAATCATAGAACAGAAATAATTAAATACCAAGATCTGGGGAATTCTGGGAGTTGGAGTCCACACACCATAAAGGTGCTGAGATTGAACCTGGTTTTGGCCTTGATCATTTAAAAAAATGATTTGCAAGCGAAGCAAACTTGTACATATTTTAATCTTAGATTTTATGTTTTAAATTTTATGTCATATAGTACATCTTATTTTAATTGGGGTGTTTCTGACACGAATAAGTAAATAATAGATAATAATAAATGATATTTTTTAAAAATAATAATAGAATAATAATAATAAATAGAATAATAATAATAGAAGCAAAGTTTCAACCTCTTTTCAACTTCGCCTCCCTCCCCAATATTTCATTCCCCTCGGCCCCGGCACCCACCGAACCTCCTCGGCCACCAGCTCATCCTCCTCTTCCTCCTCCGAGTCGGCCTTCCTCCGGCGAAAACTCTTCCCGGCCGGCATAGTTAGAGACCCTGCCCGCCTCCCACCGCCTCCAAATCGATTTTGCTTCAAGGTGGTTGCTTGGAAAGCGCTTCCTGTTTTGCAACCTAAGGGGGCGCGCGTCGCGTGACGTCGACACCACGCGCCGAAGCCGCCCGCTGTGGATCTAAGTTGCCCTTAGAAGGGCAGGGCAAGGGATTCTATAGAAAAATATAGATGGATGGTACAGGGGAGAAAAGACGGATCTCCTTAATTTTTTTTTAAAACCTGTATTTTAATTTATTTTATTAGATTGTCAGAAGGAGCCCTAATTTGCTCCAAAGATGGAAATTCCAAACTGGCATTTTTTATTTTTTTTTGCAGCGAAGCCACAACAGCCCTGTGTGCCGTTGCATTCGGAGAAGGGAATAAATATCCTGGCTGGTATTGCATGCAAAATTGTAAAAGATTATAGGGCAGGTATTCAATGCAGGCTCCATCACATATAAAAAGCAGGCGAGGCGGGAGGATGGTCTGTCTGCCCAAGAGGCAACATTGAGTATCTTGTTTCTTAGCAATAGAGGTGGTCCTTGACTTACAAAAGTTCATTTAGTGTCCATTCAAAGTTACAGAGATTTTCAGAGTTACGACCTTTGCTGCATCAGGCACTGGGCAATTGACTCATACTTACGACCGTTGCTGTGTGTGTGTGTGTCCCAAGGTCACGGGATCCCCATTTGCAACATGCAAAGTCAGTGGGGGGGGGCGGATTCACTTAACAACTGGGCTACTTACAAATAAACTGCAGGGATTCACTTAGCGATGGAGGAAAGGAAAGTTGTAAAACGGGGCAAACTCACTTAAAAACTGTCTCACTTAACAGCAGGCGTTTGGGGCTCAATTGTGGTTGTAATTGTGGTTTTAACCTGTAGTTAAAAGCATGCATTAAGGTCATTCATTTCAGAGTGATCTGTAGCAAAGCGTTGAGTTTTCAATCTATAGAGAGGCTTTGGAGCCTGTGGGGCCCCCAGAGGGCATCTTGCTGAGATTTAGAGTGGAAGTCTGTGGGGACTCTAGAGGGCATCTTGTCCACAATCTATAGAGACATGATTAGAGCCTATAAGCCCAACAGAGACCACCTAGTCCACCGTTGAGAAGAGAAACGGAGTCTTTGGTGCACCCAGAGGTCATCTTGCCCTGTCCCTAGACAGGAAACAGCCTGTGGGGCACCCTGAGGGCATCTTGCTTACTGTCTATAGGAGAATAGGAGCCTTTGGGTCCCCCAGGCCCAGAGGTCATCCTGCCCATCGTCCAGGAAGAAAGTGGAGTGCGTGGGACATCCCGAGGGCATCTTGCCCGACTCCTCCCCTTCAGGACTGCCTTCTCTTCCGAGGCCCCGCCCCGCCCCGCCCCCTCCGCCGCGGCCCCGCCCCCTCCACCGCCACCATCGCCTTCCCCGGCTTCCCCCGAGCGGCGCGGCGCCCTCTGAGGCGGCCCCGGCCGGTAAGCAGCGCCCTTCCCCGACCCACCCCCGACTCCATTCGATCCGCCCGGGGCTTCGCTTCGTCTCCCGGCTTCGTCTCCCGGCCCAGTGGCCAAGAAGGCGAGAAGGAAGGGTTTGCGGCCTAGCCTGCTCCGAAGCCCCGGACTCGCCTTGCGCTCCCAGCCGAGGAAGGCGCGTCGG